ACTGCGCACAACTATGTTCTTCAGCAGCTCTTAACGGCTTTTGAATGTGTAAATACTCTCCCGTTTGGACGTCCCAGGCCGCGCAGACATACTTACTTATTTGGCTTAGTATATCTAAATTCCCACAGTTCAAAATTCACGGCCAATCCTGCAAGAGTGGTCGATTGCGAAGAAATAATGAAAAAGAAATAAACCACGGTCCTTGGAAGACAGTTCATACCAAATTGAATCAGAGTAGACATATCCTGGACCAGCGCAATCCGATCTCTTGGACCAGCACAATGCCACAATCCAAATCATCGTCGGAATCCAGTCGTTCATTCTCGGAGGATGACAACAAATGGGACAAAAAATAATGCCAGCTCATTGGCATGCTCGTCAAGGTGATCAAGCCATGATTAAGCTCGGCTCTACATAATAAGCACAACATCGACAACCGAAAACTCCGGCTCAGGATTAATTGGGGTGCACGAGAGCTCTCTGCAGAGTAGTTGATCTGCGAGCCAGAGAAATTTCTTTGCAGCTAAATATGAGATAATTATGTGCGTGCTCACTGCCTCCTCAGAGACCTCTTTCTCCCACAGGGTGTTCAAGTCGTCGACCTGAGGAATGTTAACCACTAAATTTGAGATGTTTGGGTGTGCTCACCACATCCTCAGAGACCTCTTTCTTCCACAGGGTGTTCAAGTAGTCAACGTCAACCTTGGGCTTCGAGCAAGGGGAATGTCAACAGCTGAGTTTGGTCCAACTATGTACGGGTTTACCGTATCAGCTCCGGCAACGGAAGCTGGGAGAGCTCGCTCCGCCACTGGGCCAGCCATCACGATGGCTCCGAGAGTCAGGACAAGGAGAGTCGACAGTTTGACGTGAAACATTATTTCTGATGGACAGATGTAGAATCACGGAGAAGTGGACTCGGAGAATTCTGACCTTTTATTCTGGTCGATAAGATCCTTTTATATTAAGCTCCGTGAATCCCTAGACTCGATATCCCGTGGATCTCTCATGACATTGATCGACCATCAATATTAACCCTACCCGTTGAGTTACATATATGCTCAGGAAGGGCTGCCCGCGCTGGCCGCTATCCCCTTGAAAATTGAAATCCTTGATAGGGTTATTTACAAGTAATCAAAGATTCCAAAGAATAGATTGAAGGGGAAAGTTGGGCGCAAGGTTGGACACGACGACCCTACTAGCTATGCCCTTGTTCCCACCAATTCTCCCGCTCTCTATTCCTCAACGAATCTCCATGTCGAAAAATGAAGAGTGCTACCCCCTCATTAGTGATCCTTCTGAGGAAGGGGTGGGTGCCCCTCCACCTGTGATGCCTACTTGGACATCCAAAATCTCTCGTGCTCTGGCCGGACTGCTCGCTGCTGAAACACCTTCACTGCGTTCAGCGGCTTGATAGCCGAAGGCTGGCCAGCTGTTGCGAGCTTCGTCTAGCCTTCGGCACGGTGACCTAGCCTATGCCTAGCCGAGACTAGCCGCAGCTCGCAACAGCTGGCCAGCCTTCGGCTATCAAGCCGCTGAACGCAGTGCTTCATTGGCGATCACTATATCCACGCCTTTTCACCGGGAACCTCACACGACTTGCAGCGTTTCTCTTGAATCTCAACGAGTTCTTGTAGGTGCAAAGATCGACGGCAGACTGCTGCTGATCTCAGCCACAAAGCCCCGGCTCTTGCCGCTGTGGAATTTTGTAGGGATTGAAGTATCAGCGCGGGATGTACCTTCAACGTCTCACCGATTCCTTTAGAATTGAACCTGCGAGGGCAACTTGAACTTCATTATGAACTGCGGACATGAGACAGATGAGTCCGGAATATGTGGGTTATAACGTTCCCTCTGGGTCCGGCGGCGGGCGTTGCGTTTTCAAATATTGCGCGAGGTTCTCTGCTAGGTGATTGTGCCCCGCAAGCGTCGGGTGAAGGCCATCCACCGTATGCTCTGCCGTCATCCCGTAACCTAGGCCATCGCATACCCTGACGTCGAGATCATCCACGACGACTGGATTTGATATAAGGTCTGCATAAATGGCACCCGCATCGGGCTCATTGAAGTCGCGAAAAGGGGGCTGTATGCGATTAATCAATCTATTTTGATAGCAGACTGGAGCAGAACAGGGTACGAGAACGTAGAATGCTTTCACGGACGGAAATGTTGCCGACAGCGTGCGGATGAATCGCTCGAGGGTGGATCGGAATAATTGGGGTGCGACGTCGGTGGCTTCATCGTTGGTCCCTTGTTTGCCAAGTGAGGAATTAGGTCTGGCGAGGAGATAAAATTGCTTACCGAGGGCAATGCAGATAAATTTGGGTCTTCCGCGAGGAGTCCACGGAGTGTGATCCCAGGGACTTGCCTACGCCAGTAAGCAACGATTCGCTCCAGTAGTTAATCTTACAAGAAAAAATCTATCAACCATCCCTGAAACAATGGGAGCCATGGAATCGTCGTGGCCCTGGTGATGAATACCGACAAGGGGAATACCCGGGTAGGCAGCGACGCCAAGAGAAAGGGGGTAGGAGTACTTCTCGCGCAGTATAGACATCGCTCTGGACGGGTAGGCATCTAGAATGCCACGCGGGATGGGTTGTCCGCCGTCAGACGGGTCCAAGGCAAGTCCACAAGCTATCGAGTCGCCGATGAATAGAATCTGGTGATTGGCAACCATCGAGTCTCGGTCGACATCTCCATCAGCCTGTTCAGATACTTAGCGCAAGACTCGCGAATGCAAGGGAAATCGCACCCACAGCGCAGATGAAAGCGTCGATCTCGAGTATCGAGGCCCAGTCAATCAAGGTGATCTCGACGTAACATTCCTTGATGGGCTCTTCCCAAAGCTGAAGCACGATTCCGGGCTCAGCGTCGAACGTCTTGGTTTCGATAACAGGGTTCGGGGAGGCGAACTTGGTGACGGAGACAGCGAACATGGGCGTCCCGCCGTTCCAGCGGTCCTTGCGCTCGGTCTTCGGTCCTATTCTTATGAATAGGGAAGACAGGTGATTGTGGGTGTAAAATTTTATGGATGAGCCGGCCCAGGCAGACCAGATCGCGCCGTTATCGGAGTATTCCCACCGGCTGGATAGAGTCAGTCTTGAGCTAAGGTACGGAATTGAGAGTAGACAGGCATCCGAGGGAGGATGGGCCATCGTACGCAAACAGATTGTAGCCAGGCAGCAAGGTACCGTTTTGAACGGTGGTGGCAAGAAACAAGGTCTTTGATCGATCTGATCGGCCGACTCGGCATCACGCCGAGGCCTGTGCCGCGATCCGGCATTTTCCGACTTCTTATGTTCAACTCAAGTCTGAACTTCAGAAAGGTCGCATACAGAGATTGTTCTAGTAGCTCGGGAGATTTTTATTGCCTCGCCCATTTAAAATTGACCGAGCATCGTGACCTAGCCTGCGCGGATTTTATTATTATTATTATTATTATTTCGTTCCATCAACCGAGTCCGGAGTGAGGTTGAATTAAGACCAAGGCTCCGTGGTAGACGCCTCATAGTTAATAGTTAATTACTACATTACGTGGAGCCGCGTATTGGATAACAGGCTTGAATAAGGAAGAAGCCCTTATCAGGAGGCGGGCGCGGATAAGCCTGTCAGTGGCTTTACTAGAGAATCCGGCGCGGAAATTAAACTACGCACCGAGAGACGAGGCTAAGTGATGGCTTTTCCACACATACTTCCTGAAAACAGACGTTATCGTGCAGGAGGAGCCTGTTCGACCATCGGGTGAGCATCAATTTTTTTATTTCCTGAAATTGCTGAGGAGATGCAAGACAAATCGAACAGTAAGCAGAGGGATACAAGGCTCGGTGATGGATAGTCCTCACCTGCTTCTCATTTCTTGACGCACAGAAGTCAGAAGGAGAAACCTGTTCGAACCAGGCCTGAGCAATCCGCGGATTGACCATTGTTTCCCTGGTTCAACTGCCGATGAGATGTATATGTGGATAAATTGAACTTTGAATAAGGGTAGGAGAAGCTCGCTGGTTGATGATCTACGTCTGCTCTCTTTATGTGAGTGAGAAAAATGTTAGCCAGCAGGAGAAGCCTGTTGAATCAGGCCCGAGCCATTTGTCGAAGTCGATACAATTTTTTCCTTGTTCAACTGCCGAGGATATGCAGGGTAATTGGGCCATGAGTAGGGGTAAGAAAGGCTTGGTGGTGGATAGCCCACACCGGTTTTCTGCATGACTTCTTCATCAGAGTTTCCAGGAGGAGCCTGTTCGACTCAGGCCCGAGCTATTTGCAATAAGTTGAAGGCGATCATTTCTTTACCGTTGGAACTGCGGAGGAGATGAGGGGTAAATTGAACTACAAAACTAGGGTAGAGAAGGCTCGGTGGTAGATGGTCCACACATGCTTCCTGTAAAAGGGGTTCAGCACCTGTCCACGGAGGAGGAGGAGGAGGAGGAGGAGTGTATTTAAATTACTGCGGAGGTCCCTATAAGGAACAAGCAGGTACTGTACCTACGTACATCGCGTCCCGAATGTACGCTACAGTCATTAGGAGCCTGTTCGAATCAGGCCCGAGCCATTTGCAATAAGTTGAGGGCGATCATTTTCTTTTACCGTTGGAACTGCGGAGGAGATGAGGGGTAAATTGAACTACAGAACTAGGGTAGAGAAGGCTCGGTGATGGATGGTCCACACCTGCTTCTTGTGTATCATCATACATGTAAAGACAGTAGCCAGCAGGAGATGCCTGTTCAAACCAGGCCCGAGCAGTGAGTTGGCAGAAATCAATTTTGCCACATTGAATTGCTGAAGAGATGCAGGGTAAATTGAGCCGTGAGGGGTGGTATGAAAGACTCGGTGGTAGATGGTCCATACCTGCTGTCTATACATGCCACTAGCATAACAGGGCTAGCAGGAGAAGCTTGTTCGAGCCAGGCCCGAGCCATTTCCCATATGGCGCGTTTTTTATATATCTGCCTAAATTGCCGAGGAGCTGCGGGATGAATTGAACCGTGATTTGAGGTAGGCAAGGCTCGGTGGTGTATGGTCCACGTCTGCTTCTTGTGGGGGATTATGTGTCCAAGAGCCAGCAGGAGACACCTGCTCGAACCAGGCTCGAGCCGTGATAGAAGGATAATTCTCTTATTTGTTTTGGCTGCCTATAATACGAAAGGCACGGGTTAGTCTAAGGTAAGCTTACTCTGTCACGGTAAGCTGTGCTCGCATTTTCCAAGTTGCATTGACATGAGGAACGAGTTAAAACTAAAGGATAAGGAATGTCGATAGAAAGTTGAACTTTGAGCCATGATGCATGTGTGGGAAGACAGGGTCGGATGATTTGTATATAGCCGATGCTCGTAGATGGCAAGAAAGCTGCAAATGAAATAAAATCCCGTTGAACATTGCAACCACCACTGTTGAACTTTGTATTTTCCGTTTGATGCGGTACTTTCCGTCTCCGTCCTAAAATAAAAGCGGCTTCGTGGTAAGATATGTCGCATCCATACTCATCCGATCACTTTGATCTTGCAAAACTATCATTAATTCAGGCTCGCCTCGGGAGCGAAATCGAGAACGAAGGAAAAATAGAGCTGGGCGGCCTCTAATTTTCCTTGGTTCTGGATTTTTGAGATGCCAAAAATTGAAATAGTTAATAGATTTTAAAGGTAAGTCAGATTGGATCCTATATAAGAAAAGAGCTCAGCACCGCCACACGGGAAAGTCACATGAAAACACTGCCACTAAGTCACATGAAATGTCATGTGACCTCTCGCCCGTTCCAGGCCCTGCTGCCGCTCCTCAAGGCCTCAACACAGATTTCATTAATGGTAAGCACACTTTGCCTCTGCCCCTCATCTTACTCTCTGCTCCTTCCCATTCCAGGTTTGTTACTCCCTCTCTCCTCTCAATTCCTGTAACCTCTTTGATGATTTCCACAGCTATACCCCTATCTGTCAACAACATTACAACTTCCCCCATTTTCTCTGTGCTTATCTGATCTTCTGTGTGTACCCACAATTGACTCTTCAGATTTAGCCCTACTAATTCCAAATCAGCTACAGCCTGGCTCTGAATGCAGATACTTTTTATTTTCTTTGTATCAGTCTGACTTTTGCTGCTCTGAAGGGATCAAACTCCTCCAACCACTCCTCAGCACTCAAAGGAATGAACATGATAACAGGGTCCTTGATAGTCCTCAGAGGCATTGTCAGCCTCACCATCCTGCTCAGCCTGCTCAATTTCAACAAAATCCTGAAGATGTCTTTGGAGGTGCCCCTGTTCTAAACAGGATTCCAGAGCAGGCTCAGATTCAACCAAGACTTAGTCCGAGCACATCTGGCTGATCTTCAGGCGGCCGCCCCTCTGCAGTTTAACCCTGTAGCTTACAATCCTCGGATCAGTTTAAATCTAGCTCTGAATGCTGTGGCTGGGCCATCGCGCACGAGGTCCCGCTCCCGCTCCTGCTCCTCAGGCTCAGCCTGGGCTCAGGCTGACACCGAGTACTCTAGCAGCTCATCAGCAACGTTTAGCTGAGCTCCAAGCCCCTCGGGAATTTAATCCTGTGGAAAATAGACGTCAACAACAAAGGCAACCTGCCATTCCACAGAATAATGACCCTATACAGCCACCTAGGATACCATCCCCTGGACCACCTCCTCACGCTCATATCCCAGTAGAGTATCTCAACTCTATCCGAGCATCTGGACTACCTTTGGCCAAATTGGCTCTAAAGGTTGGGTGCCCTATCATGATTCTCCGAAACCTAGATCCA